GGACTGTTTAAGTCCTAGATTAATCTTCAAGGACCAGAAAATGACAGGCCTTTCCAGGGAGAAACTGACTCCGCGAGTCTGAGTGGCGCTGGCTGGGTCCTCTACTGCGGCGTAGTCTTCTTTGGAGATGATGGGTATCCGTTCTTCTCCTTTGTATTCCTGGCACCGTCTAGAACTCTCCGTACAGTAGCTGGTCAGTTCGTTCAAACATTGCCAACTACAGCTGTTCTCCTTCCTGCCTGTGGCCGCCATGTCTCCCACACCCATGCGGCTGGAAGGGGCCACAAGCCTTCTGTGGGGAGAGCCGGGAGGACGGCCTCAGCCTTTAGGGCCGAACGGCTCCTGAGCGCACCACCTCTTCCACTGCGCATCTGCATCCCTCCTTTCTGCACGCAGGACGAAGCTGGCTGCGTCGCGCCCGAAACACGCCTCGTTCTCCCCATGCCACACAGCAGCGCTGTTTGCATAACCCCGGCAGCCGGTTGTTCTTAGCACTGGCTACACAGGGGGCTCCTGGGGGATCCGTGGAAACCCCCAGACTGCTGTGACATCAGCACAGCGGTGGGCTGCGGGGGCCCCAACGCTGGTGTCCTCCACAAAAATGAGAACAATGAAAAAAGATTGCGTCTGGACTGCAACGAAGAAGCAGCAGAAACCAGGCGTGACCACAGAGAAAAGCCAGGGCGCCCCTGACCTGTGGCACTGCGCCCCCCCAGTCAGTCTGCAGCGGCAGGGCGCCGTGGAGCGCGGGGCGGGAGCCCCTATCAGGGGTCGCATCCCGCCGGGGAACGGAGGGCACGACAACCCCAGCAGCCCTCACACGTGGGCATGTGCAGGCTTTGCCAGCAGGAACACCACAGAATTCCCCCGACACTGATCCGCTGGGGCTCCTGGACACAGGAGTGGTTCCTGCCCCCAGGAGCCCCACCTGCTGCTGTGCCCAGGGTCTGGAATTGGGACACCGCTGTGCCTGGCCAGGCCCGCTGCTGCTCTGCACCCACCCTTGGGTCCAGAGTGGAGGCTTTGCCCACTCTGGGTCCTCTGGCTGTCCTTGTACCTGCAGCTGTGTGCTCCTCGCGGGGGGCTGGAGCTGGGGCCTGAGCTTGCCCTCCCTAGAGCGTGTCTATGCGGTGCGCACCATGCTGTCCAGGCCCGTGCTGGATGCTCTGCACACGCCCAGCAGCTCAGACACCACCGCAGCTGCCTGCAGGGGAAAGCGTCCCCACCTAACCCGGCCCAGAAAGGCTGGAAGAGGTGACCACTTCCTCAAATGCACAGATATCTATGCAGGGCCGCTCGAAGCATGAAAATGCAAGCAGATGCCACCACCAGGGAGCACGGGCATTTTCCAAGAAGAGACTCCAAAGAAACTGAGAACTACCAGTGACCTGAGAAAGGCTTTAAAACGCCCTCTGCATGCAAAAGGACCCATGTTGGCATCTCCGGGAACTCAGGAGAGCGATGCATGGACAAAACAGCCCCCACCCTAGCCCCCCCACTGTGCAGAGCCTGGTCCCTGTGCATCAGAACCCTGGTGCCTGGACCCTGCCCTGTTGTGAGGACCATGTGGGGTGGGCCAGGTGTGTGCGCTTGGGGTGATGACATACGTCTGTGCAAAGGGGGAGGAGACACCCCACAAGCCAGCTGCATGCCTGCATGGAGCAGAGGAGGCAGGTGGGGTGGCGAGGACCTGATCTCATGGACACAGAGGATGTCTGAGTGACTGCGCAGAGAGGCAGGTGGGGTGGTGAGGACCGGATACTCCTGGACACAGACGACAGAAGTGCAGGCTGCTCTTGGCCTGGAGCCGTCAGACGAGTGGGGTGGAGCAGGGACTGAGGAGTGAGACTCCAGTTCATTCTGGTTAAGCAGAGATTCCCAGCATCATGAAGTAGCTGCTAAGTGTTCTCCACCTGCCTTGTCCCGGTTGGGGACCACGTGGGTTCTGAAACCTTCATCTTCAGCTCCTGCCCACCCTCACTCACTGCCACAGATGCTGCTGGTGAGGACGGGACCCCCTCCCTGCTTCCACTCTGGGGCTCAAGAGCTTCACCCAATATGGTAGGAAGAACATGTTGGTTGGATACAGGCTTGACCACCTGGCTTCTCATCACGCTGGCCCAGGTCACAGGACATCTCAGGTCAGCTCTGCACAGCACTTCCACAGTGATCAGAGGACACTGTTGTCAGAAGTCTCGTCTAACAGGGGCTGCCTCAGAGCCTGATAATGGGCACAGTTCTCTCAAGGACAGAAGATACTTTCTTTCTTCACTGACGGGGCGGACAGTCCTCTGTGAGGGATTTCCAGTAGAAATAGCTCCTCAGCCAGGGGGAGGGGAGGATAGAAGGATTCATTTCCCCGTGGAAATAGCAGTGATCTTCCTATGAGCACGCAGCCTCGAATCACTGTGACAGCCCTGCAGACAGTTCTTATCTTTTCTGGATAAGGAAATCGGGCCCAGGCACCACGTCATGTATTTCAAATGCAGACTCCCCGCGTGTGCAGGAGAGGAGGCTCCAAAACGTGTGTTGAATTCACTCTTTTCCTGGATACAAAATTAGAAGACCTAAGAATGACATCCTTTTCATTTTCCCAAGGTGACGGTCTGATGTCAAGAGAGCCCATAGACTATCCTAGAGTCTGGGGATCAGAGAAATGTGCTAAGAACTTAGATCTAGTCATGGTGCCCCAAACCAAGCTGAGAACCTAATGCCTTTCTTGCCTGATGAAATCAGGGTTTTGGCACCTGCACACAGACATCCTGAGCTGCACCCCATTCCACACCCAGGAAATTTTAAAACAGCTTTAACAAGATGTAATTCACTGCCATACAGTTCACCCATTTAATATGTGCAATCCAACAGCTTCCCTATATTCACAGATACGTACAAATACCACACAAATTTAAAACATTTTCATGGCTTCAAAAATGACACCCCATTACTCTAAAGCTTTTGCTGTATTTCCCCACTTCCACCACCTCCAGCCCTAAACAACCACTAGCCTGCTTTTTCTGGGGCTTCCCTACTCTGGACTTTCCTATGAATGGAATCATGTCTTTTGTGGTCTTTGGGACTGGTCTTTCACTTAGCACAATGAGCTACTCCTCTTTTATGTCTTTGGAATTTCCTCTCCTCGGCATCTGGTCAGGTACCCCAAAGACATTTCTGTTTCGAAGATTCCATACTTGCATCCATCTTAATTTCCTGTTGAAATTGACTTTTCTGCTCATCTGCATATGGTCCTGAGCAGGAACCCTCAGCTGTTGGTCTCAGGGTCCTCCTCTACGCAGGTGGGCCACTCCCATCACACAGGAGGGTTTCCAAGGGTCAGAGTGACATTTCCCATAGAGTAGAATACAAAGCACAGGTGCTCTAGGAGATGATTTTAGGCAGCGCAGTGACACGGTATTCTGTAGCTTTGATCATGGCATTAGAAAGTTATTACTCTTTCAATCAGGTTATGCCCTTTTCACATCAAGGAGAGAAGATCCATTTAAAGCTGACTTTAGAAACTTTATCTCTGGTTCATCACTCTTTTTAACTAGAAAGCGGTAGGCCATGGGCTCAGAAACCTAACAATCAACAGCATAAGACTAGCATGTCCTAACATTTTCTGCCTTTCCAAATAGCAGCTAAAGAGGTCTGTTCTTAGCAGGAACCATGAGTTTTACTCACTGGGTAGAAGGGACAGAAAAATTCTCCTGGTGCCTGAGGCTACCGGAGTGTCTACACTGAGAAAGTCTCCCAGAGATTTGCAGCCTGGAAGAACTTCCTGTCTGCCCCCAGCACCCTGAAGCAAGACTCAGCCATGATCTGATGAAAGCCAGTGCAATGAAAGGAAGCAGAAGAAATGAAGAACTACGTCTCCAAAAATCGTCTCTACTCCAATCAGAACAGGAATTTTTTTTTAATTTTTAAAATGTTTTATTTATTTCTGAGAGAGAGAGAGAGAGAGACCGTGAGCAGGGGAGGGTCAGAGAGAGAGGGAGATACAGAATCTGAAACAGGCTCCAGGCTCTGAGCTAGCTGTCAGCACAGAGCCCTACGCGGGGCTCGAACCCACAAACTGTGAGATCATGACCTGAGCCAAAGTCAGACACTTACCAACTGAGCCACCTAGGTGCCCCAAAACAGGATTTTGTTTTTGAGAGAGAAAGCAAGAGAGCATGTGGAGGAAATGGGCAGAAGGAGAGAGAGAATCTTAAGCAGGCTCCATGCTCAGTGCAGACCCCGATGTGGAGCTTGATCCCATGACCCTGATAACATGACCTGAGCTGAAATCAAGAGTCAGGTGGGGCGCCTGGGTGGCTTAGTCGGTTGAGCATCCGACTTTCGCTTGGGTCATGATCTCGCGGTTCGTGGGTTCGAGCCCCGCGTCGGGCTCTGTGCTGACTGCCAGCTCAGAGCCTGGAGCCTGTTTCAGAGTCTGTATCTCCCTCTCTCTCTGACCCTCCCCTGCTCACGCTGTCTCTCTCTCTCTCTGCTAGAGATAAATAAAACATTTAAAAAAAAAAAAAAAAGAGGCGCCTGCCTGAGCCATCCAAGTGACTCCAAAACTGGATTTCTATAAGTGTATCTCCCGAGTTTTAAAAAAGGATCTAATAGTTCTAAAATAAGTATTTGTGAAAAAGAAAAGGATTATGAACAAACAACAGATCTTGAAAGTGAAAATATTATGGATAACATTTTACACCTGCATCAGACGATGAAGAAATATTGGGTACAACTCAGAAACAACTTGATGCTATGAAATCAAGAGGGAGCCTCCCGAAATTAGATAAAATGTGGAGAATACATGAAATAAAATTTAAAAGACACGTAGGATAAATAAGGAAATTTTCATACTTGATTAATTGCTAGTCCCGAAGTACAAAATAGAGAATGGAGGGTGGTCAATAATATACAGGAAGCAATGTTTTCCCTACTTGTAGATGGAATAACGTCTCCTTTGGAGGTGACTAGACACACTACGCAGCCTGACTCTGAAGTTGTAACTATGTTTTCAAGTCATCCAAGTTTATTAGGTGTGTCTTTATGCTCCATCCTGTGCTCTGCCCCAAGCAAAGCTACAGCAAGAGTAAGCCTTGTCCTCAGGTGATTCGTCACAGAGCTAGGAATGTAGGTTCCACAAGACTGTCGAGGGTCAGCAGGCCTCCATCAACACTCGTCATTCCCTGCGGTAACTGTGGAGCCGATGCCTACAGGGACAGGCCTGAGATCCGGAGAAGGAGGAAGAGGGGAAACATTTCCCCGGCCTCCTAACTCAGGTTCTCCGCCAGGGACCCCCCCCCCCCCATCCTCCAAATGAGCAATGTTGGGAACGGTCATCATAGCACTTGCTCGTTCCCTTGACCCACAAGGATTGGGGCTTCAGCTGCCCTTTATTGGGAAAGACAAATGGTGCTGAATGTTCCCACGAAGAACAGGACAGTCCCACGTGGTGGAGAAATCTCCCACCCAAAGGGCCACGTGGTGAGACGCACAGGCGGTGCCCATGGTGGAGTGTGGTGTTTGGAGAGCCCGGCGCCACTACCCCAGCGCAGGACCGGCGAGGGCGCAGCTGTGCTTCGCGGGTCCACGCGGAGACTCCAGGCCGCACCAGGCTTCCAGCACGAGGGCGCCCATAATAAGCACGACGAAGGCCGCCAGACCCAGGCGGAGGAGGTTGCCCAAGGCGTAGTCCTTCGGGGTGGCGCCTGGGGGGACTGGGAGACGGGGGCCGGTCAGCACCAGCCGGGAGAGGGGCGCCCGTCCCTCCCACGCGGGTCCGCCCGACGGGGCTCCCCCGCCCCCACGCGTGTGTCCTGGCCGGTGGTCAGCGCAGCCGCCCCGACCTTGTGATGCTGAAAACACGACGTGCGGCGGCAGGAGAGTCGTGGCGGCTCTTCCTTGGTCTTCTCGCCTTTGTCTTCTCCCTGCCCTGCTCTCTCCCTTGTTTGCTCTGCTTGCACCTTCGCGCACGTCCCTTTGCCCTTCTCCCTCCTGACACTAGGAATCAGGCTTAGGAGCAAGCCCCGGAGCCCCAAGTCGCTGCGCGGAGCGCTGAAATGATTGCACCCCGTCTTCACAGCAAAGACTTCCTGCAGCCCAAGCCCCGGAAAATTCAAGCTCGGCAGCTAAGCACCGAGCCCCCTGTGCACTTGGTTTCCACCGCAGCCACGAAGAGCGAGGGCTCGCGCGGGGCCCGCTCCTCCCCACCACCTGCGTGGGAATCTCCATCTCACACAGGCCTTGGGGGCAGAGCGCATGTGTGAGCCCATCAGCAACAACATTGCCTGGAGACAGAGTCCGAGAGGAGGGTCCCGTGGTGCCGCCCCCGAGCCCAGGATGCCCTCTGCGCCCCTCTGCGCTGGCTGCTGGGCCCTGGCTTTCTATCCACGGGGCGTTCGGCCCCCATGGCTCCCACGCACACACACCCACGGTGCCGCGGAAGCAGAGCGCGTGGCACCTGAGGAAGCAAAGTTGTGGCCAGTCACAGAAGGTCATCGCGGAAGACCCTCCGTCGGTGACACAGAAGCTGGCGGCCGGGGCAGCACCGGGTACTAGGGACCAGACGGAGGCACCGCCACGACGCTGCCCTCACCGGGATGACAGGCAAGTCTGTGTGACCCACAGGGTGACGGAAGGGACGCTGATGGTTGGCCGCAAAGGGATGGATCGTTTGCAAGAACAACTTGAGGAATTATCCAGGAATACAGAACAGCAAAGGCCAAAGACCAGAGATTAGGAAAGGGCAGGTTTACAAAGGAGATGACAGTAAAGTCAGGGGAGAAAGAATCAGAAAGTAATAGAAGAAACGCTCTCCAGGTTTAAAAAAATAATAAAAAAGCACGTCGTACACCTTAAACCAATAGTGTTATAAGTCAGTGATAGGTCCACAAAACTGGAGAAAGCAAATAAAAGAGCCAAAGTAAAAAGAAGCTGATTAAGAAATGAATTAGGTTTCTCAAACTTCCGAAAAATCCTGCAAAACCTCACCTCTCACCCGGATCTCAAGAGGCTCACTAGGCAGTGAGGTCCAGAAAGGAGCCTGGGTCTGGAAGTACACACAGCTGTAGTTCCCGGAGTCTTCGGCTGTCACAGTCTGCAGGGAGAAGTCCGTCTCCTTCCCGACTGGAGTCCGGAGCTGGATGGGCCCTGTCGCTCCCGCCTTCAGCAGAGCGAACATTATTGGCCTGAAAACATCATCAGGCCTCTGGCACTGCAGGGTCACAGTGTTTCCTGCGGTCACCTCACCCCTTTGGTGGGCTTGCAGGGAAGGTTTAGGCCAATCTCCTGCAAGAGAAGGGGGCTCTGAGGTCACGGGGAGAAGCCCAGGGTCCCCCACTCACCCTGGTTCTCCCGCTGGGGTTCCTGCCCAGTGTGGGACGCGACAGGTCCCTGGTGTCACCCTCTTTCGACTCTGACTGCGGGAAGGAGGTCCCGTCCCCACAAGCCCTGGATGCAGCGGCCAAGTCATTCTGTTGCTGTGCTTCTGCGTCTCCTCCATCCCCTGCCCTCCTCGGGTCCCTCCCCCAGGCCTCACCTGTCACCAGTAGCAGGACGACATCACTGGGTGGTGATCTCATATAGGGGAACCCGCCTCTATAGAACTCACACGTGTAGTCTCCAGCCTGGCTGTTTCTCAGGTCAGTGAGGTGAAATTCAGCCAGGCCCTCTGTGGAAGCCGGTGATCGTGAAAAACTCAAAAGAATATCTCCCTTCCTGAGAGCAAAGTCGACATCCTTAGTTGGGGCCCGACATTGCAGCGTTATGTTGCTCCCACGAGGCGCCACCGAGCTGGGCCAGGCCCTGAGGGAGGGCTTGGGAAGGGGTTCTGGAAGGAAGCAAATCGGGGACGGGAATTGGTGCCCTTGCCCGCTGTCAGGAAACCCTTTTAAGGAAAGAGAAGGGATGTGAGGAATTTGGAGCAAAGGAGAGGGAGGGTTTAACTGGAGGAATGCTCACCATCAGTCTCCCTGCTTCCTTGGCCAGCGCACAGCCCTGCAAGAGAAAGTCTGTCCTGAAACCTGAGTCCCTGTCCCCATGGGGCTGCCGCTGAGACGGGACCCTGGAGGGCTAACATCTGGAGAGTTTTGTTTCCCCACGGTGGATGTGCCCTCAGCATCTACCCCATTTTCCCCCAAAGGTCTCTTGTGTGGATCCCACCTGCCCCAGGGGCTTTCCCAGCTTCACAAATGTCAGCAAGCCTCTGGATTGTCAGCTTCTGTCATGGATAGATTCTTGTATTTCTGTCAGGCTGTGTTACAGTTCGTGGACCACCCCGCCCTCCCCCACCCCCCCACGCACACAGACACTCACCTCACTGTGGATGTAGAAGGCAGGAACCCTGAGAAAGATCAGGAAGCATTGGACTTGAGTGTGACCCTGGGCCACCTCGGATCTTGTCTGTGACCCTAAGTGGGCCTGACAGTCTGCAGACAGCCTCACCTGAGCCCAAAGAACTCCCTCCCCCCATGCTGAAGGCTTCTCTGTGCCTTGAGTGACAGAAATTAAGGTAGATACCATTTGGCTGTAACTAAGAGAGCTCATAGAAGTTTATGGAACACAGGCGCACCTGGGTGGCTCAGTTGGTTGAGTGTCTGACTTTGGCTCAAGTCATGATGTCCTGGTCTGTGGGTTCGAGCCCCGCATTGGGCTCTGTGCTGACAGCTCAGGGCCTGGAGCCTGCTTCAGATTCTGTGTCTCCTTCTCTCTTTGCCCCTCCACCGCTCACACTCTGTCTCTCTCTCAAAAATAAATACATAAAAAGAAGGAGGAGAAGAAGAAGTAGAAGTGGAAGAGGAAGAAGAAGAAGAAGAAGAAATCCATTGGCTTGAAAAGAAATTTGCAAGTGACAGTGACTATGTGTGTCTCTGAGTGTCACAGACACCCTGCCGTTAATGCCCAAACATAGACACCGTTTTGTCTCAGTTCTATGATCTCTGGAAAAATAACAGCATCCCTTTTTACAGAATTTATTGGAAGAGAACGATTGCTCTAACTCAACAGATACTTAAGAGATTTCCTCCTTTTTTTAAAATTTTTTGCCTGTGTGAACTAGTTTGTGTCTTAGACATGAAAAGAGGGAAGTTAACAGGCCTTTGTGCTAAAATGGCATGGACAAATAAGAAATATTACATTCCATGTTTGGGGAAAAAAGTGATAAACAGACAAAAAGTGAAAAGACCCAAGCGTCCAGCAAATGATAAAGAAAAGGCTTGTGGTCTGTACAGACAGTGGAATACTATTCCACCATTAAAAGTGGGTTGAGACACACTCACTACCAAAATTCACACGGGAAGAGATAGAAAATCTGAACAGACCCATAACTAGTGAAGAAATCGAATCAGTGACCAAAAATCTCCCACAAATAAGAGCCCTGGACCTGATGGCTTCCCTGGGGAATTCTACCAGACGTTTAAAACAGAATTAATACCAATTCTCCTCAAGCTATTCTAAAAAATAGAAATTGAAGGAAAACTTCGACTCATTTTATGAAGCCAGTATCACTCTGATTCCCAAGCCAGACAGAGATCCAGCAAAAAAAGAGAACTACAGGCCAATATCCTTGATGAATACAGATGCAAAAATCCTCAACAAGATCCTTGCAAATCGAATCCAACAGCACATGAAAAGAATTATCCACCAAGATCAAGAGGGATTCATTCCTGGGTTACAGGGCTGGTTCAACATTCGCAAATCAATCAATGTGATACATCACATCAATAAAAGAAAAGATAAAAACCATATGATTCTGTCAATAGATGCAGAAAAAGCATTTGACAAAATACAGCATCCCTTCTTAATAAAGACTCTAGAGAAAGTAGGGATAGAAGGAACCTACTTAAACATCATAAAAGCCATCTATGATAAGCCTTCAGCTAACATCATCCTCAACGGGGAAAAACTGAGAGCTTTCCCCCTGAGATCAGTAACACGACAGGGATGTCCACTCTCACCACTGTTGTTTAACATAGTGCTGGAAGTCCTAGCATCAGCCATCAGACAACAAAAGGAAATCAAAGGCATCAGAATTGGCAAAGAGGAAGTCAAACTTTCCCTCTTCGCAGATGACATGATACTCTACATCGAAATCCCGACAGACTCCACCAAAAGCCTAGAACTGATCCAAGAATTCAGCCAAGTTGCAGGGTACAAAATCAACGTACAGAAATCGGTTGCGTTTTTATACACCAACAATGAAGCAACAGAAAGAGAAATCAAGAAACTGATCCCATTCACAATTGCACAAAAAACCATAAAATACCTCAGAATAAACCTAACCAAAGATACAAGAGATCTGTATGATGAAAACTATAGAAAACTAATTAAGGAAATTGAAGAAGACACAAAGAAATGGAAAAACATTCCATGCTCATGGATAGGAAGAATAAATATAGTTAAGATG